CATTTCCTTGAAGAAATAATGGAAGGAAAGTCAACGTGTACGATTTTTTTGAAACGTGCACGAGCATTTCACCTTCTCGCAGACATATCAAAAGAGATAATTTCTAAAACTATTTCCTAAAGGCGTGTACTCACACAACTCAGGACAAATGAACGAAATGGAAAGAAATCCAAAGAACGCCAATGCCTAGAGCTTGCTTTGTGCTCATTGGCTAATATATGCCAGATGACCGCAGTGGAGCTCGATGCCCATTGGACAACTGGAGACGAAGTTTTTTGATACGTATGCTGTCGATCACAAAGCAGAAATTTCATCTATTCGCAAGGTTCATTTTAGATATAATCTAGAGAAAATTCAGTTGCTTTCAGACGTCCAAAATCAATTTTTTTTTTTTTTTTGTTCATAAAACGAAGTATTAGCTAGTTCCATAAAAACATGAAAATATTAAGAATAGAAAAGTTGGGAGAAATATATTGTAAATCGGGTTGGCGGGAGAGCGGTAGAAAATCGGGAGTCTCCCGCCTAAATCGGGAGAGTTGGCAACTCTGGAAATGTATAAGAATTTCCTACCGTTTTCGCAATTCTTTGACCTATAGAACAATGTGCACCTGTCAGTACTCGCACGAACCAAAGGTTATGTTAATGCAGAGAACTGCTATTTCTGGGAGTATGATTCACCATCTGACATTCCATATAAGGAATAAAAGTTGTTTTTCTAGTTTCAACTTTGGTACGGGGAAAAAATCTGCATTTGTTAAAAAAAAAAAAAACAAAAAAAAAAAAAAAAAAAAAAAAAAAAAAAAAAACAAAAAAAAAAAAAAATAAAAAAAAAAAAAAAAAAAAAAAAAAAAAAAAAAAAAAAAAAAGCCCTAAAAACAAAAAAATAAGCACTAAAAACAAACAAACAAACACACAAAAGTGCTTTAGAGAAAAAGTAAGCACTTATAAGAGCTTTTATATTTTATTTTCAAATATAAGAACTTGTAAGCACATTTTAGGACCGTTACGAACCCTGAAAGACATGCCATTGACGGATACAGTGCTAACGGCTAGTGAAAAGTTATCTCCAGAACAAATTTACAAAGCTGATGAAACTGGTTTTTTCTGGTAATATGTACCAGGAAATACCTTGCAACATCTACAGAAAAGTCATCAACTGGTGTCAAAGATTCCAAAGCAAGACTAACAATTTTAGCATGCAAACATACTGCAGGAACGCACAAGTATAAACTTTTGGTTATCGCAAAAAATACACAACCTCGAGCATTTAAAGGAGTAAAGATTTCCCCCATTATACATTGTGCAAATAAAAGGACATGGATGATACAAGTGTTAATGAATGATTGGTTTGAAAATCATTTCATACCCGAAGCTCAGCAACATTTGAATTTGGTTGGTTTACCTGATGACACAAAAATTGTCCTAACTGTAGACAACTGCTAGGCTCATACTTCACTTAAAGTTTCAGGGAAAGATAATGTATCTGTATTATTCTTTCCTCCAAATTCTACATCCATCATTCAGCCTATGTATATGGGAATGGTGTGCAGTCTGAATTGCAAATATAAAGTAGCATTTTAAAACACATGTTAAATTTAATAATTTTTTAAATATTTTTGCACAAAATCTGCTGTGTGGAGCATCGCAAGATTGTGAGAGGATGTGTTTCCAGATGTTTTAAAAACTGCTTGGCATAATTTATGGCCAGCTACCATATTTAATGGTAAGGATGATGATGATAGCCGCAAATTTGAAGGTTTTCAGATATTGCAAACCAAAGATGAAATTTTCCAGTTAATAGATTTTGTAAAGAAATGTGGAGAAGCAGTAACAAATGAAGATTATAGAACAGAAGTTTTTCATTACAATGACAATGCCCCAATCATCAAATCAATTAACACAACGCAAAATCTATAGTATATTTCTAGATCCAAAAAATGCCATTGGCGTCTTCATAGTGAAAAAAGTTACTGAAAACAAAAACATTTCGATTGACAAGTTAGTCAGAATTCTTGACAGAGCAGTTACAGAATTTGAAGAATGGAACTTTATGACTGAACAAGAAATTATGTCTTTGTACTGAATGAAAGAGAAAGCATTAGCATACAAAGAAGCAACTTAAATAACTTACATTGAAAGAAATGTTTAATAAAGTAAAGAAATAAATATTAAGCTTTTTTTCGTAAATTTTGATTACTTTAGATCATAAATGCTTCATTATTTCACTTATCATAAATGCTTCATTATTTCATTGATCATAAACGCTTCATTATTTCATTGATCATAAATGCTTCATTATTTTAATTTTATAATTTCTACATGTCATCTTACTAGGTTTAAACTGATGATATAATATCCGGAAAAAATCCCAAATCCGGAATCGCCAAAGTCCCGACGAGTCTGGATCTTGGACTTTGTACTGTATTACAATATACACTGACTGCAATATTGCAATATGATAGTTTAAAAATTTCAAACTCACATTACTGTAAAAAAGAATATTTAAAACATTTTGGTCTATTTTTTACACTAAAGACACTAATCTTTACCTCAAAAGACTCTCTAAGATAAATTAGTTAATATCTATGCTAAGTATTGGCGGGGGAACTAAGGAAAATATTTAGGCAATCAAACCAAGGAGGGAATGATCAGCATTAGGTGTTATTCGTTTAGCCAGTGATGGGGTATATGAATACTAAAATTGGAAGAAATTACTATTATGATAAACTATCACAAAGTAATTTATTAATTCAGATGATTATGACAATGCCTAAAGAATTAAAATATTATGAATAATAAAAATTCAGTTTTGAAGTAATTGAATATTTTAATAAATAAGTATATTCATTATTAAGAAGAGAGAAGAGCAATATCAACTTCTTAAAACAGCAGTTCTTGATATTGTAGTGAAAGACAAATCTTAAATAATGATACTTCTGGAACAGAAGAATGAAAACAATACCTTGTCCTCGATGGAGATTTTCTAAGTAAACACACACCACCCATTGCACAACAAAAGCCTGTCATATTTGCCCATTCATTGAGCTGATCCTAAATATTTTTAAAAACAATAAAAATTTACAATATATTTCATTGTTTTCTAGACAAACAGAATGGTAAATATTAATTTCTTACCTCTAACTCATGTTCTGTGCTTTGGTGAGAGGCTCTCCTCTTGCCAATAGTTCGGTGGAAACCTTCACAAATTTGAGCTTCTTCTAATTTTGTTTTAGGGTAACTAACAAGCAATTTTGTTGCTGCTTCCCAGTTCATGAAAGTGTCTTCCCATGCCTAAACATGAAGCATGGAGGGAAAAATAAAAAAAAAAAAAAAAAAAAAAAAAAAAAAAAAAAAAAAAAAAAAAAAAAAAAAAAAAAAAAAAAAAAAAAAAAAAAAAAAAAAAAAAAAAAAAAAAAAAAAAAAAAACGATTTTTACAAGTAACTATTAACTACTATGATAACAACCAAATAATTTGTATATATTAAATGGCCTGGCATATCTTTTACTATAATGTGTGTTATATATAATAGTATAAACACTCTTGGCATTAGTAAGAGACAGGAATAGTTTCAAATACATATTAAAGATCACAATTACTATTTAGATTTTAATGGAGGGATTTAAAAGCATTCATAAAGCTGATTGATTTATAAAATTAAATTCAAAAGCAGCATAAATATGCCAAGATAAATCCAGCATTACAAGAAAAATAAATAAAACAAATTTAAGAATGATAATGAAGTTTTCTCCCAATTTCCATTCTTTATTAAATCTAAATGCTAAAATAGGCACACAATGTATACTAAATGAAGTAAAAGTATTCATGATTATTACAAGTAAAAGTATTCATAAAGCAGTGCTATAGTAACTATACAGCTCATAGAGGAAAGTATAACAAACAGTACATTGAATGTAAGAACATTATTCATAAAGGATAGAAACAGTTCGGAATCTCTTTAACTATCTCATATATACTACTTTTCAAGGCACCTAATAGTTAAGAAGATAAAGTGCTAACAAAATGTTTTAGAAATTACAATACAGCAGTAGCCTTCAATGTTGACACAGAACACCCATCACTTTTTTTTTTTTTTTGCATGTGTACGTGTGAAATCCCATTCTCCAGAAATTTAAAAAAAAAAAAAAAAAGAGAGAGAGAGAGAGAGAGAGAGAGACAGAGAGAGAATTAAAAATATCAAATTTGAGTCCACTTTGGGTGAAAAAACAAACAAAAAGAAAACTATTATTTCATTAAACACTTTATTCAAACTGAACACAAGTTTTGTAAGTATACTTATTTTTTTTTTTTTGCGAATCATTACTACATTATAAAAATTAATGTGTGAGATGTGCTGCCTTTTTTTTTTTTTTTTTCCAAATATATCAAGGTCTACTCATGTTTCTGCAAATATGTTCCACACCGAGTGTTTAGCTTATTTCTGCATCTTGTTTCTGGTTTTACACGAGTTGAAAAGAATTGCTCACTGAAATACATTGTGATGAAAAATATTACAAATTTTGTGCCTTTATTAAAAAATTTGGGATATTCTACATGGATCAAAAAATCAAATTATTTTTATTCCTGAAATTTAATGTCAAGTCTGCAGTGATACAATTCAATTGCTTTCTTCATCTTCTTTTTCCCCCCCTCCCATTGATAATGATTTAGTGTAATTCTAAAACGGATTTTTTATCCAATCACATTGCTAATATTTTTCTGAGTAATATTTCATACTTTAACAATACTCACACAGTATTAAAAAAAAAAGCTGAGAAATATTTATTCATATTTAATTACTTTTCCATCTGAAAACTAGCCAGTTTTTAAAACACTAAACAAAACTTTTCTCTAGTTGGATGGCAGCTACACATTTTCAAGAAGCAGCTGCATTTATGTAAGAAAAAGTGGCATTTCAAATTTGCTTTAGTCGAAAGATTGTGATAATTTGAATTGCCAAGAATGTTGAGCAGTTGGTGCGCACACATCTTCTGTTCTGTAGAACCTACGAGTTACATGAAACTCCAGGGCTCTTTGAAACAAAATTTAAAGACTACTGCAATGGAGTTAAATTACACGGTAATACAAGTTAGAAGACGTATTTTTAACAAGTTACTTAAACATTAACTAGAATAAATTTTTTAGATATTTAAATCTCGATTCCTATATAAATTGAAAATTAGTGCTTACCTGAGAACAACCTTGTGTGCAATGTTCAATTTTTCTTAGCAAACCCATGATACGTTTTTGAAGTGCAGCACGCCCTGAAAAAAATAAATAATTTACCCCTAAAAAAATTCATAAAATAAGTACATCAGCTTTGAAATTCTTTATGTACAGATCTAGCCTGAAAATCTTTTAGCATATCTACTGAAAATAAAAATAAAAATATATTTTATCTTATAATGTATCCAAATTAAATCTTTTAGACATTATACCATGAACTACAAGACGAATCCAAACTCTTTGACCTTTTTTAAAATTAATAAATAAATAAATAAATAATAATGACCCCTATGACAGTAAATCATATTCTGCAAGTGTGTGATCATGCCTTCATCAATGCACTGAGCAAGATTGCAAATTTATATCACAGCAGAAAAAATATGTATGAAAAACCAACAGGAAGAATTAAGTTTTTTCCACTAAAATAAAAGAAACTAATTTTTGAATTTATTTCATCTTCATATTATTTTATCTATATTTTATTCAAATTAATATTTACACCAATAATATACTAAATATTTTCTTCTCCATATAATTTAAGATGCCCCATTTGTATGCTTAAGATAAGCCTTTTACATGTATGTTAATATTCGTTTTCGCATACTCACTACGAGATCGCTTCCATATCTATGAATTTAGACAAATTATGAAACCAAATTCCTATTCATATGAATAACAAAAGTAGAATAACTATTTAAATAGAATAGAAAACAAAAATTGAAATAAAAATGACAAAAGTGACTTTACAATATCATAAAAACAGTGTAACAAAACAGAACATTGTTCTGCTATCGCAATCAATAACCTATTTTGAAATTTTGAATAAATTCCATCCTTCGGAAAGTTTATCTCAATTACATTATACAATTAATGCAAAATTACATAAATGACACATTCCTTTCAATCATACAAGATTTTATGCACTGCAGATAGCATGAGGGTAATGTAAAATTTCTTAGCAATTTTAATGCCGGGAAACACTTTTCTAAAAAAAGCTGCAGCATGATCCGATGCCTTCAGTGGCAAGTTGTGCTCCAGTAAAAAGGCAGAGAACACGTATTATGCATTAATAACTTTTTGATCCTTTGTTTCGACAGAAAATTTTTATTTTTTCACAGTATTTTACGTTGTCCTTGTGCACACACATACTTAAGAACATCAGCCCTTCCACCAAACAAAATCGAAAAATTGCAATTACAAACATTACACATATTGCAGTTCCTTGAAGAAATTAATGGCAGGAAAGTCATCTGTGTACGATTTTTGAAAAGTACATGAGTATTATACATTTTTCATAGACATAAGTAAGACAAAAGATTGCAGCTTCTTTAACTGTTTCTGGAAAGCATGTGAAACTTATCCTGCTTACTGGCAAGATGAACAAAAAAAAAAAAAAAAAAAAAAAAAAAAAAAAAAAAAAAAAAAAAAAAAAAAAAAAAAGAAATTTAATAAATAAAAAAAAAAAAAAAAAAAAAAAAAAAAAAAAACCTTGATCTTGCTTTGTGATCATTTATTAATATATGCCAGATGAGCTGCAGCAGTACTTGATTCTCATTGAACTGGAACATGATATTTTTGGACACATAGTTCGGACTTTCATATACAAAGTAGAAACACACCACTGATGAAACGACTTTGGTTCTTTTTATACGCATTCAGAGAAAAACAAGTGCTTTCAGATGCCAAAAATCACTTCTTTCAGAGGGAAATATCGAAGCATTCAGCCAAGCTACATAAAAATCATGAGAAATTTTAAGATGGTCAGAAATCAGGAGAGTTGGCAACTCTGTCAACACAAGGACAAAATTCTAGACCGGATCCTCGCATGTGATGAAAAGCGGATTCACTTCAATAATACAGGCTGAAAAGGGGTTGGTCTATGCTCGTTGGACCTATCAGCAGTGTCGCAAAGTGCAATTTGGCTAATAAAAAGATAATGCTTTGAATCATAGATTTGGGTGGTGATTACCACCTGCAATAAAGGTACTGCTTTCATGTCTCCCCTAACGTCATTAAGAACATTTTTTGGCAGAAAACTTCCATTGCAACCAGATATTATTCAAAGTTAAACAGTTATAAGTGAATTCCTTCTCCTAAAGAAGGCTAACATTTGGGCATGAGCAGCTCAGTTGCTAAATGCTAAATTCTCTTATGAGGAAATGCTTTGTAATAGGTACGAAGATAAACTACTTTGTTTAAATGGGGCACTCTCTAAAAGATTTTATTTTTGTAAAGATGGAACCTTTTACATGTTACATTTTTAAATAACAGTGTCCTGTTATAAACATATTTTGTCTGTTTCTTGTTACACATAGCTCTTAAAAATAAAAAAATGAACTATCAATATCAGATGTCACTAAACTATTGATAACAGATGTCACTACACCACATGATGACTTAATATTAATTCCTCTATGTATACATGAGAATTACCTTTTGACCATATTTGATAACTAGAGATATTAAAACTTTTATGACCCCCAAAAATGTGTTTCACCTATCCAATGGATCATTAAAATCTATAGGGTTTTAATGAAAGTTTCTCGTCACTGCAAATACCATCTGTGCAAACAGTTCGTGTTGTCGTGTTTAATTGTATAGCGCCAATTTTTTTTTTTTTTTATTTGAAAGAAAGAGACTTACTTTATAACACTGTCTGCAAAATTTGTTAAAAAATATTGTTATCATTAAGTACAAGGTCTCAGAAATGGAACTATCATGCTACCAGATTAGAACCATCATTTACTTCCAGTTCTGTTGCAAAAATTCAGCAAATCATGCATACAGCTTTAAGTACTAACGTTGTATTATATGACACAGTGAAGGTTTGGTACCGAAAATTTAAAAACAAAGACTATGACATTCAAGAAGCAGAGCGCTCTGGCCGGCCTACTGATATTAATAAGGTCTGCTTGCGAGAACTTGTGAAAGAAGATCAGTACACAACCACCTGAGAACTTGCTAAGGAGTTAGAAATCACTCCCATGTCCATTACTTGCATGGCATAAACTTCATGTAGAAGTTTATTTGCTAGGTATCAAATGAGCTGACTCAAGCAGATAAGGGCAGACGTGTTCGAACCTGGATTTAATCTGTTGAAATATCAAAGCAAGGACAAAATTTTGGACTGGGTCATCACTTGTGATGACAAATGGATTAACCTCAACAGCACATGCCGAAAAGAGGATTAGCGTGCGCCCGGTGTGCCCATCGGCAGCATCACAAAGTGCAATTTGACTAACGAAAAGATCATGCTTTGTATCAGGGAAAAGGTAAAACTCTCGGCTGTAAGGTACAATGAGATGTACAATGAGATGCTAGTCCTTGTTGGCATTGCTATTAAGGAAAAATGATGAACTGAGTTCCAGCACAAAAAAGTAATGCTGCATCAAGATAATGCAAGACCATGTGTGTCTGCATTTACCGGTTGGACTTTGTATGGACTTGAATGGGATCTTTTGCCACTCTCATCATATAGCCCCAATATCACTCCTTCGAATTCCTATCATTTTTGACACCTGCGGCTATATCTTGCTGGTGCTATCTTTCACTTTGTAGAGGACATCCAAAATGAAGTTAAGCTGTTTTTGGACTTGCGGCCACCAAGTTTCTAAGCTGAAGGCTTTGAAAAACTACCAAAATTGCTGCCAGAAAATCATAGATTTGGGTGGTGATTATTACCTGCACTAAGGTTACTGCTTTCTTTTCTTTCTTTCTTTTTTTTTTTTTTTTTTTTTTTTTTTTTTAAGAATGTTTTTTGGTGGAAAAACTTTTGTTACAATCAGATATTATGGATCACAAGAAAAGCTTTTAAATGCTTATTTTGCAAATTCTTTCTGTTTGTGGATATGACTTATTAGGAGCTGATGCAAAAATTGTTAATATACAGATATATTTGCAACACACCATGCAAGATCTATAATACCGACCAATTTGGTGAAGTCATGATTCTTCATATTTTCTGACCACTGTTACACCACTCCGACTATGCAACTAGTCTTCATTTCAGCAATCACATGGTTGCACAGAACTTTGTCAATGGCTAGGTCAAATTTCTAATTTCTTTGAAACATCACACAAGAATTTTTACTGCTTTTAGTGCTCTCGTAGTCACTAAATCTCAAAATGTCCCCATTTGTCTCTGAGTATGAAACTATACTAAATCTAAAAAAAGCTGATTTCAAGTTTAGGTGAAATTTTTTTACCAATAATGCTTTTATATACCAAATTCAACACTTACAAAAACTCATCATTAATCTGAACATAAATCTGGAAAAAAACTGAAGTTTTGCAGATGGACAGTTTCTTTCAGAGCTAATCTCATACCTAAGCTTTCTACAGCACAATGCCATCTAACTCTGCAATTTAAACTTTTTTTAATTGCCTGAAAAAAAAATCCAAATTTAAGGAATGAATGATGCTCATCACATCCTTTTACAATGAAATGATAAACATTTTATGAATTTTTAAATGCTCTAGTGACTTTTCACACTATCTATTAATTACATCTTAATTTAGATAAAATTCATGAAAATTTAAACTCACCAGTAGTTAATATAGTACTAGCTGCTGATAATTCCTGATATACATGATAATTTGGTAACATATATGTAACAGTGAGATCATCTTGCCCACATCTAATATCCGCTTCTTCACAGAGCAATGAGAAGCAAGACATAGATACCAAAACAGCATCAATATCTACACTCCATAAATACATGAAGAAAACAACCTATACAAATTTAAATTTTTTTTAAAAAATTAATTAAATAAATAAATAAAGTCCTAAAATTTTACAAATTAATTCACAAAAGAATTTACTCTCATAGCTTCTCATAATCATGTCAATACTAATATTTACAATAAAAATTCAGTAAAAAAAAAAAAAAACAAGATCACTTGATCCTGATAATTTTGGACAAATATGACTACAATTTCTTTTAATGACTTATTTCATATCATACTTCCTATTTTATACCATATTCTTCTTGGGATACTTAATCACTATATTTGAATCTTTTTTAATCATACATGCTTAACGGAGATACCAGCTTATCAGATTTAAAAAAAAAAGGTGAAGGGAGATCATTTTTCAAGATACTAGGAAAATTTTCTCAGTGAGATAATTACAGAAAGTAATTACTTTTTTAAATAATCTTTAAAATATTATCAAATTAATATCTGAAAATGCGGTCACTAAATCTTAATTATAAATGATGCAAACAAACAAAAAAAAAACATTAAAAAGTATTATTTGCACATTTTAATAAAACACTTTAATCAATTTCAATCACTAACAACAGTAGCAGATTTTACTTTCTTTAGAAAGTGAGAATTATAATTCTGTTTGTAGCCATTGCTACATAGGCATATTTTTTTTTTTTTTTCTTGTTTTGTTTATACATACACACATTTAAAAATGTCAGCCATTCCACTGAGTGAAATAAAAAAAAAGAAAGAAAAGAGAAGCATACACTACACATCGTAAATGTATTACATCTGCCAGAGGAAAATAATATATTAAAAACAAATCAGTGTACAGTTTTCATAAATTACATGAGCATTTTATTTATTTTTTCAGATATAACTATGAAAAAAAGTTTGCCATTTTTACACCATTTCTCTAAGTACACGAAAATCAAACCAGAGGGGTAATGAAAGAACACAAAGAATAACTCTGATCATTCCTCACATAATACATAAGACAAGCAATTACATAATGCACCAAAAGAAAGCTGATATTTTAAAACATTAGCTAGCTAGAGCTATGCAAATAATTTGCGTGGAAATGATTTAGCCCCTTTAAGCAGTCTGCCTAGTCTAACTTACAGCATTATGTTACCATTAAACTTCCTTTTTGTAATGTTGAAAGAGTAAAAGCAGAAAATTGTAATGATTGTTATTAATAATATTTAATCATAATTAAAATTTCTTTCAATATAAATACTTTAAAACTATTTCCGAGTTACTAGATATCTTTAAACATAAAACAATGGAAGTTGCAAACCAGCAACCAACATTTTTTGTAACTGACGTCAAATACCAACTTTTTCATCCTTAAAAAGACATTCAGTTAGTAGTGACCAGTGATTTTCAGTTAGTAGTGACCAGTGATTTAAAGTCTAGTCATAAAAAATGATTGAAACAGTTAATGTGTCTCCTCTCAAATGCCACTTGAAATGCAGCAATGCATTGAGAAATGACTGAACAATGACTTTAAAGTTCAAATGGTTAAAAATCCATTGATAAATGGAAAGCAAATAATTTTTCCATGCCAAATTAATATATGATGTCAGAAACATCTTTTACTGATTATAATTGTAGTGTAAATGCTTACAGATATCCATAATTAGATAGATTCATTAGATCATCATAACATTTCATTATGTAAATAAATTACAAATTACATCAATTATAAAGTTATATAAAAAGTATATACATTACCTTCAAATATCTCAACTCATTAAGAAATTAAAAGTTCCAATTGGAAACGAACTGTCTGGCCCCATGCCAGTTGATTTAGACTGCTATATAAATGCTGATTAATTGCTACTGCCATATTTAAATTTGAAATCTTCAATTATTATAAAATTGGACATTTTTATGCAATAGAATTAACAATCATGAGGTTTATCTATTTATTTTTATCATTTTAAGTTTCCTATTACTCTCTTTTCACCCATTCTTTTCATGCCAGAATGTAAATGAGATAGCGAGAGTTTATTCAGATTAAGGTAGAATGAAGTGCTATTTAAGCAAAAGCTTAATTGGTTTTAGAGTGTCTGCCTATTCCAGGACACGCTGTGCTATGATTATAACCAAACTTGCATTAGAAGCATTGATGTGTTCTCGCCTTTAGGCTTTTCTCACTGGTTACTACACACCAGAGCTCTTCCTGCATATCAAAGTATTCTGTGAGTCGTTCAGCTAACCTACCACACCTTGAAATTATTATTTGTTACATACTTCTGTAAAGCCAGAAATGTTGGCTTCCTGTAACCCAAGTTGGATCAGTTGTTAATTTTATGCTCAAATAACAAGTTTTTCAAAAGTCCTTTTACAAGTTTTTGTTCCCAAAGCGCCAAAAACTTTATACAGTCATCAGTCACCAATTAAAAAAGAAAGCTTTTTTAATGGTAACATGCTTAAATTTCATTGTGGAAACAAAGAGATAAAGGTATTTACATAAATATTTATGATGCTTAACACATCATCTTTTTTTTTTTTTTTTTTCATTGTAGCTTTTTACTACAAATAGAAAGGTAAAGCTACTTCAGTAACACTGATTTTTAGAAATTCTCTAATTTGGGTAATTCCATCTTCCAATGTTTCTTTGAGCAGGATTAAATAAAAATGACAACTGGAAGATATAATAGAACTCTGACTAAATGGAGTCACACTTCCATTATATCTTCACATTTATTTATTTTTCTTCTTAATTTCTTTAATAATTGATTATAAAGTATAGCTGAAGAACATAGCATGCTGAGACCTGATGATCTTCACATAATGTAATTTATCATGTTAATATATTGCTTCTAAGATACTAGGTTGGAAGCAAACAGAACTCATTTTTCTTCTGAGGTATACTATTAAAAGTTTCCCATTATATCCAAAACTTTAATCAAGATAAAGTCCCTTCAGAAACTTACTTTCTCTGCAGTACTATTTAGGAAATTCACCTTCTCTTTTTAACAATGGAAAAAGGCTTTTCCTTTTATAATTGGACAACTGAATCTACACTTCCCCTTACATAATTTTTCTATTTTTATAGTTGTGTGCAAAAGTTTAAGACTATTCATGGAAAAATCAGATTTATTGGAATTCCACACCAAAAACATATGTTATAAATGAAAAAATAGACTTACAGGTTTTTGAAGTATAGTTCTCCTTTACTTTTTATCATTGCTGCTATCCTTTTAAGCATGCTGTGAACAAGAGACTGACAGTAAGCTTGAGAAATCTCTGTACACCACACATGCTTTATTGCTTCAACAAGTTATGTAGCACTGGATGGTTGGTTTTCCGCAACTTTATTTTTCACAATAAACCACAGATTCTGTATGAGATTTGAATCTGGGCTGTTACATGGCCAATCAAGCACTTGAATTAGAGTAGCCCTCAGATAGTCCTTAACATTCCTTGCCCTGTGACATGGAGACTCATCACGGATGAAAATCGAACATCTGTGAACATCCAAATGAAGCTTCAACTTGTCACATAACAAATTAAGATGCCGACTGCCACTCATTGTGGTTTTAGGTAGCAGGAAATATACATCAGCAGTACCAGGTGCAGACACTGTGCCTATATCATCTTGCTTGGAGGGTGTCTCACTGTCGGAATCGTATATCTGTCATCATATCTTTTTCCAAATGGGTGGCGAATACATTTAGCATGTACAGAAAATTACTGCACACTTGACTCATCAGAAAATAACACTGTACTTCCCTGTTGTTTGGTCCAATTCTGATATTGTCTGCCAAAAGTCAGTTGTTCCTTTTTCATACTTAGTGTAAGTCAAGGTTTCCTTGCAGGTTTATAGGAAAATAAACCATAATCTTTAGTCAAACATCTTGAAATAGTACTTGGACAGACGTTGGTACCCTGTGCAGCCATAGCAGCTCTAATTTTATCGCAAGAGGTTGTTGGACATCAAGTGGACATGCTTCTTATCACACGTTCATCATGTATACATGTTTTTCTTGGGCGGCCGCTTCTCTTAAGATCCATATAATTTCCCGAAATTTTGAATTTACTCATAGATTGATGCACATCTGACTTGCCGACATTTACCTTCAAATTTATTTCACATTCAGAAAAACCAACGTCATGCAGGACCACTATTTTTGCCCATTTTTCAATAGCAAGTGAAGGCTTTTTACCCATTACAAACATTATACATGCTTTTTACCTATTACAAACATTGTACACAAAATCCAATAATGAACTAGTGATAAATGAGACCATGTTATACATTTAGCATTACAAAGAGTTTGATGCAATCATGAGGGAAAATGGTGCAATCTGTTAAAATACAGGAAAACAGCTACTTGGTCTTAAAATGACTGTAATAGCTCAAAATATTTTGAAAAATCATAAGTTTATCTTCTTTACAAGTCGGAGTATAGTTCTCTCATCATCATCAGCATCATCATAATAATAACAATAAAGAGCTTAGGAAGGTTATTTCAAAGAAAAAATTTTTACCATTTATTTTAAATAACTGTTTATATTTGTCATGTGCCTGTGCATCGAAACATTCTTTTTAACCCTCTGAACGGCTTGGGTTTTTGGACCTGTCATGAAGACCTGTATTTAGAGAGCCTTTATTAGCTAAGTTTGTATTTTACTTACTTTAGGCTCTATTTTCATAAATTTAGATTTATTAAGATTATATTTATATTATTAAAGAAAGTATGCAAAATAATTTGTAAATTATATATATATATATTTTTTTTTGTCACTTGTATATATATATATATATACCAAGTGACAAAAAAATCTCATGACCAGATAAAGCCGGGCATGGCGCTCAGAGGGTTAAGAGTCATCTGATGAACATTTCGAATGCTTACCTGATAAGACATCTTCCTTTAGAGTCAGTTTGATCATCTTTTTTCTTTTTAAACATGACAAGTTTGATTTTTTGGATGATGTCTCAAACGCAGAATTTATACACAATTTACATATGATGCAACTAAAATTAATTATCATATTAATAAAATAATTATTAAAATTATCAATTAAAATTTTATTTACTGATTTTATCATATCTTTGACAGTACATCTGATTTACATATGAAAAAGCTATACCAAGAAAAATTGAATGTTTTTTTAAAATACAAAATACTAGGAGGATACTAGCAGTCACATAAAATAAAAAAGCTTAGTTAAATTCATTATTACAAACATTAATGTTATAAGCCTTCAATATAATGCATTTTATTTTTACAGTGTGTATTTTTTGCCACACTTGTTATGTTATAAAACAATTAAAACTGAAAGAGAAACTTTCTTCATTATAAGTATTTTCCATGACTTAAGTCAATTAAAATAGGCTTCCCACTCTCGCTCCCATATTTATAAGATTAAATCCAATATAAAAGAAAGAGAAGAGCATTATTGCATAATAATAGCTTACAGAAAAAAGAATTTAAATGAAATGACATACATTAACCCCTTCGAGCCGGGTAGCGAAAACGCGCGCTTATCGCTGAGGCCGGCAGTGTCTTACGCGAGTGTCTCTCCAGGGCCGGAGGCTTTTTTGCTACTAAGCCTAAATCCATGAAATTTCCGAAGGATCAACGCATTGTTTAATAATGCTCTATAGAGTATTTAAACGGTTTATGCTTTATAAATATTTATATATATATACTTTAATTACCTTATTTCTTGTTTAAATGCATATTTTAACACATTTTATTTTAATTACTCACCATTTTATGAATTTTTAACATTATACTCTGAAAACTAAATATATTACTTAAAATCTCTTTTCGTATGAAAATTTGAAAACGGGGATCTACACACAGTCCTACGTTACATTTCTTGCACTCGTATAACCATTTGCCGTTTTGGAGGATTTTTCCGGGAATGTGAACAAACGAAGCATCGTCGTCTCATTTTCTTATCAGTCTCTTCTGAAAACAGTTTTTTGGAAAATGTCTTTCAGTTAATCTTTCAGATCAATATCAGAATATCAGAATTTCAGAATCAATATCTGATATATTTTTGCATTATTTCTTCTATTTCATGCTCTGTTAAACATTTTCGACGCTTCACATTGCACGTAAAAACAAAGAATTCACGTCTAACAGATCTAATTATTTTCTAAAAACTGAACTGCAAACCGAAATACCCAACGCTTTAGAGCAATAAAACTTCTCTACTTACATTAAACAACTACCACATGCGAATAAAGTGCGATTTAAAGAGATGTCATAAATCACGCCATTCGGAAACATTTATTTCCCCGTTTGTTTATATAATCAAAAACATGTGTATGTGAGTCATGCTTCTCTCATTTCAAGTAGAAGGTCTAATTTACATGTATCTGAAACCATATGGACATACAGTGCCATCTTGTGGCAGAAATTATAGTTTGAAAAACGTTCCAAAGTACTGGCACAAATACGTGACAGTCAGTAGAGAATGAAAGAATCCTCTGGCACGCCTGCGTGTCGGCCGGTAGGTAAGTGCGTTCGTTGCTGGCACGTATACGTGACAGGGGTTAAGCAAATCATCCCACAGCAACAAATCAGACATAGTTTACTTTTTATCTATCCTTTCCTAACCCGAAAACTGCAAAAAATAACACATATACAAAATTGCATTTTATGAACTACATGTGGATAACTAACTAACCTCAAGTTTGATGTGTGCTTGTTTGCAAATAGCAATGTGGCTTCCCAAGTTGGCGTACTCTTTATGTTTTTGCAGAAATGCATTTCGACACTTCAAAATCTCCCTAACCCATTTTAATATTTCTGTGTAATTCATAATCTGGTGCTGAATGAGTTTCTGAGAAATTGAAAACAGCACCTGGGAGCTGAAAAAAAAAAATATAATTACAGATATATGAAAAGAAATAGAAGCATAAGCTTTAAAAAATAGTTTAATTACAGTAAAAATTATGGTAAAGCATTACAAGAAATCCCCTGGTAAATCCCCCTCTACTCTGCAATAAAATTTCTTGCTTAATATAAAATATGCAATATATATCAGCAGAAATAAAAATGATTGGTAGCATTTTATTCTTCATGTGAATTTTCAAAAGAGTTTACTTTCAAATTTGAGTGAATATCATCTTAAACGAAATAAAATACCAAGTAATTTCAGACCTAAATTTTTTTATAACAAGAAAAACAACAGTTCCTTGATAAAAGCACATTGGATGAACGTGCATATGACAAAAGCACCCCCCCCAGGAAAGCACTATGATTGCCCATGCAACAAATATCTATATAAATAAAAGCTCCATTTTTAATCAATATAAATTGTACTTATGATTGCACTTACAATAAATGGATTATTTGAGTCTGATTTTTGATGTCTCTAATATATGTCAATATTTATCACTACTTTATTTATTTCATTAGCTCAAAAACAAACTTTTCAGCTTTCTGCTTAAGTAGTTATGTAATGATTTAACAATAAATCTGAAAATGTATTTATTTATGAATGTGTGAAAATGGAAACTATCACTGTGAATTTTCTCAAAAGCTATTTTTAAAATTATATGACTAATTACATATATGTTTCAGTATTAAAAATGGGGGAGATGTTAATAATCAAAGAAGAGAATATATTATTTGCATAATTATAATGGAATACTTTTTAATCTTCTTTTAGTTCTTGATTTTAAATGCAATGCAATATTACTGCGCTGAAAGAGAGTTTTCAAGAAACTGAGTCGGTACAAAATGGTTTTCTCGGTTTCTCGGGGCTAGAATCATTTACAGTAACACTAGTGTTTTCCAACAACCATTACAACTTTACTAGAAACACACAATCAATAACGTTAACCATATTTTTTTCCATATCTCAAGAGCGACTCACATTCGGATATTAGCTGAAAAATTTAGCTTTAGTAGCCAGCACTGGATTCCATCTTTCTAGAATTTCTTACCTACCTTTAATAAATAAGATAAAATAATAAATTAATAAATATTTTTTTTCCTTCTTTGAAGGAAGCTTATATATTAAGGATGTCTTTTTTTTTAATTATTTGCCAAGTATCAGAAAGTTACTTTCCAGAAATAGTCAATGTTTAAGTAATGCAATAAAAATGAGGCAGAATTATCAGCAGTAATATATGTCTTAAAGCGTAAAGTATTTTTTACATAAACAGTTTCTTTCAGTGTTAATTTAAATTTGTGGAAAATTATTCTGATATTAATTATAACTGAAAATAATTAACATAAAAAAAATTGAAGCACGGCAATATTGCATTAAAAACAAAGCAAAGAATATGAGACTTGTTCAATTTTAAATCATAGGCATTATTTTTAAATTACTAATGCAAATAGGAATTTTACATGCATCACAAGTGCGCAAAGTAAATTATTGAAGCATAAAAAATCACAATCTTAATGTTTTAACTGCTTTTATTATATTTATATGAGTAATAGTTTGTTTTGACCTTTGTATTTTGTTAGAACTGATGATAATTCAAAATTATATGTAATTTAAAATTATAATAAGAAATAAGTTGCAGAAGTTAGTCTAAATACATACTACCATTTTTTTATAATTTTAACCATAATTACACCCGTATTTTTTTCCTAATATTGTTAGATATTAATTTTAAAGTGTTTCTTTCCCTCACTAGATGGCTCTGGGGGTTTCACCAGTGACAGAAAATTTAACCTGGTTTTATATGTATATATATATTGTAATATCTTGTTATTTAATAAATAAATAATTATTGTTGAAGTGGCAACGCCATATTTGTATTAAACCGTTACTCAGCATTGTGAAATTGTTTTTAAAAAAATTAGAATTCTGAAGATTTTACCAGCTAGGAGTAGTATGAAATTTTGCCACTTAAGAAATGTATAAATTTGTATATCACCATGAACTAGAAAATAAAATTTATGTTTTACGAAGAAGATCGTTTGTCTATTTTGTTAAATTACTGCAAAAAGTGTTACAGTCTTATAATTAATTGGAGGTTCCACCGAGATACCTGGAAATTAGGAGTGCGATTTATCAATTTCGATGGTGCTTGTCTCCTAATCCCAGAAGGTTTACTGAATTTTTTTAGAACAAGTTTGCTAAGTACCAATTGCCGAAGCTTTGTTTATTTCAAGGAGAAATGGAAAGTCTGCCAGTTTAAAGCCAGATTTTTGAAGCGGATCATTCAAAGGTTATCTTCTGTGCTTCTGTAACTTGCATCCGAGCAAAAACTGTCAAAAATAGGATATTGCTGATCTCTGAAGATAAGATTAACTTTTGGTTTTCTTAAAAAATATTTTATTGAATTTTAATACTTTGTTTCAGAATTATAGTTTATCGTTTAAGATTTTGTTTAAAATAACTGACACTAAAAATATTCAATTTATAAACTGATATTTGTGGTAAAGAAGTATTTTAAAATTATTATTTATGCTTTACTTTTATTTGTATTGAAATTTTATGTTGATAATTGATATGTGTAAGCCATCCCGGCATTTATAAAAAAAAGAACTGCTAGCTTAGTTTTGAATTTGTTGCCAAGCAGGCATGTGAAAAATAAGTAATAACGTCAAACTGACGTAGTGTGATTTGATTATACTGCTGAATTGGCAAAGATTTTTTCTTAGTTCTCGCCATCCAGGCGTGTGGTAGATAGTAACGTCATCCTGACGTATTACGTATAGACGTAAAGTCGTATAGATAGTAAAGTCGTCAAACTGACGTGGGTAAAATTCCATTGTATTGCCTAACTGGCAAAGGTGTTTATATAGTTATAGCTAACCAGACTTGTGAATAGTGAGTTAAAACGTCAACCCGATGTAGTATTTAGTATTTTGGGCCAACCTGGCAAAGTTGTTTGAATAATTCTCTCCAATTGGTTAGTGTGAATTTCGTATTTGAGAAATTAAGTCTTGCCACAAATTATACATTTTTAGTAAAAGTACAATCTTTTAGATTCAATTTCAAAAGGAAGCCTAATAAAGGTAACTTGTGTCAACATGTCGTTCTTAGCTAGGATTAAAAAACAGGATTTAAAAGTACTAGCAGAAGAGTTAGGTTTAACCGTGAAACCTGAATTTAAGATTGCTCAGTTGCATAAACTGATTACTGAAAGTCACGATTATGATGAGGAGTTTACTCGAGAACTACCGGCTGCAATTAGAGAAGAAAGGGAAAGGAAAGAAGAATGCGAAAGAGAAGAAAGAGAAAAAGAAAAGGAATGCGAAAGAGGAGAAAGAGGAAAAAGAGAAAGAGAAAAAGAATGCGAACGAGAAGAAAGAGAAAGAGAAAAAGAACGCGGAAGAGAAGAAAGAGAAAGAAGAGAAGAACGCGAAAGGTAAGAAAGAAAAGAACACGAAGAGAAGAAAGAGAAAGAGAGAAGAGCTTGAAAGAAGAGAATTAGAGCCTTTGAGCTACAGAAACTTCAGTTGGAAGCAATGGCTGCAACAGCACAGCTGGTAGAAAACTACGCATTTACCTGAGCAGCCTTTAAAAATCAGAATTCACGATGTCATGCCACGTTTCAACCCATAAGAAGATGAAATAAGTTTTATTTCTGGTGTTATTTGAGCGTCAAGCTAAAATATGAATATACCTGCTGAAAATCAAGTGACTCAACTTATTTCATTGCTGCCTCCTGACATTGTTCAGCTTATTGCTAGAGAACCAGAAAGAGGACGCGGAAAAGTATGAATATGTAAAAACTTTACTGTTACAACGATTTTTTAAATTGAGTGCGGAAAAATTTCGACAACTATTTAATAAACACCAAAAATCTGCTGAAAGTACTTGGTATGATTTCTACTATGAATTAAAGAATTATTTAAAAGGATGCTTAACGGATTAAACATTAAAACTTTTGAACAGCTAAAAGATCTCATGCTGGTTGATCAAATAAAAAGCGTACTTCTCCTGATTTCAAAGAACATTTTATGGATCAATGGACAACCATCATTTCACCTACTGAAATGGTTAAGAAAATTGAAGATTTTGAAGATGTGAGAAAAACAATAAAATCGAAATTTTCTGCCAATCAGACTGAGAAAATTAACAAAGGATCATTTAAACCACGTTATGATAATTCTGTGAAAAAAATAGAGCATCCGCCTCATTTTAAGCATTCTGATAGATGGGATGATTCAAAATACAAGAAAGATCATCAGCAAAGGAATCAGTTCCAAAACAAAAACCAAAAAAAATTATATGACAAAAGATATCGACCACGTTGTTTTGAGTGTGGATCATACGAACATTTTAAGCCTCAGTGTCCTCGCTTAAAACCAAATGAAAAGGTAAATTGCGTATCTCCGAATGATGATTTGTTAGAGACATATGCAATTAACGGTTTAGTGAATGGGTATGAAATGCCTATTCTTCGAGACACAGGAGCCACTGTTGATGTTATTTCTCAAAAATACATTGATAACGCAAAAATGACTGGAGAACATGTCTGGGTACAATATCTTTTAAATGACCATTTAGTGTGTCTACCGTTAGCGGAAGTTGACTCACCTTATTTACCTGGTGATTCATCTACTATGGATAATGTGTGTGATTATTCCTCTACAAGTTTCCAGTTCCTACTTCTCCAAAAAGCAAAGATGTGTTTGACAGTTTGTTAACAGCAGATCAAAGAACTTCTGATAAAAGAACTCATGAAGGTGCTTCTAAAGCTAAGAAATTAAAAATACGTTCAGGATCTATGCACGCATCAGAAAACTTAGCAAAGAGGCACAAACATGATGAAGGATACTCAAAGTTGCCACATTCAATGAGAGTGCAAGTAGCAGATAAGAACAAAGATTCATCTCGCAAAGAACAAAAATTATCTGAGAAGAAAGAATTGACAAAATTAAACGATTCTCGGTTACA